AATTTGCTGGGGTGACCCTTGTTAGCCATTATACTGTTTACCAACCATTGCTAGGTATTCCTCAGCTAATGTTTTACCATTAAACCATTACCTCAATAAACTTATCTAACTTAATCTTAAAACTAGACAGGTCCCTCGCCCCCACCGTTTCCCTCGGAAGGCCATTCCAATATTTCACCCCTCTGACGGTCAGAAACCTTCGTCTAATTTCAAGCCTAAACTTCCCCACGGCCAGTTTATATCCGAGTCGGGGTGACCCAAGGACATTAAACCAAACGAAAGGCCGCACGTCTTCCCGCAACACGCGGTCGGCCTGTGGAGCTCGTTGCCAGTTGATGTGGTGAAGGCCAAACTGTAAGTGGAGGTCAAAAAGAATGAGCGAGTTTGTGGAGAATAGCTCCACCAACAGCTATTAGCCAAGACGGTCAGGGACGCAGCCCAGTGCGCCAGGCATCCCGAGACCTTAGGACTGCCAGACAGTGGGCGTGGCATAGCTCACTGGCTAATTGCCCTCTTCTGTTCATTGCCTTTGAAACATCTGCCACTGTGGAAAGAGAGGCAACTGGGCGAGACAGCTCATTGGCTCGGACCCAGTCTGGCCATTCTTACGGTCTTAATTTCCTCCTTGCCTGCTGAGAAGGGCTCACCTATCGCCCGGGCATTGGGTCCTGGGCTGCTCAATGGTGCCTGCTGAAGCTGTTCCACTTTATTTAAATAGCACTGGGGTGTGGTGAGGTGAAACGCTAGGCTCCCTCCACTCCAGTGGCTGGGCTCCTCCTGCGGGCTGTGAGAGCTGCTGGTTTAAATCAGCCTTTCTGCCACCCCCCGAAAGGGGTGTGCGGGAAGAGCGATCTGCTGCAGCAGCCCAGGTATGTGTCCTGGTTATACAGCTAGAGCGCTGGAGGCTGTGTCGCTGTCATCAAAGAGCAGTTGGGCAGAGGCATTACTATGAATCCCTCTGTAGTCCTGTGGCTTGGGTACTTACCCAGCATGTGGATGATGCAGGTTCAACTCCTTCCTCAGCTTGCTGAGAAGGGACTTGAAGAGCCATTTCCTGCCTCCAAGGTGAATGAACATGCAGCTGCTGGACTAAGAGGGGTGCTAGTTGGGACCTGGTGGCGATGGCATCTCATTTTTCTGCTGCAGTTGTTCCACTTTCATTACATATACATTGGGAAGCAAGTCTAGCAACTAGCCCTGTGTGGTCTAGTGGTTTGGGGTTGTGGTCAGCTTGTGGGAGCTTAGGGTTCAAATCCCCTTTATGCTGGCTGAGACGGGATTTGAACCTTGATCTCTTACCTGGCAAGTGAATGCTCTAAGTGCTGGGCCAGGCAGTATTCTGCCCCGGGGGCTCCCTTGCTCTTTTCTGTTGAAGCCGCTGCACTTTCATTACATATTCATTGGGCCAAAACCCCAACAAGCAGCCTAGAGTGGTCTAGGGGTTGGGCTGTGTGCCCAGCATGTGGGAGACTGGGGTTCAAATCCCCTTTATGCTGGTTGAAACGGGATTTGAACCTTGATCTCTTACCTGGCAAGTGAATGCTCTAAGTGCTGGGCTAGGAGGTATTCCAATGGGCTGGCTCCCTCAGTGTTTCCTATTGAAGGTGGGCCAATGTCATTAGGTAATTAAATAGTCACTGGGCCCCTATTATATTGTGAGTCCATCTGTGGTACAGTGGTTTGGCTACCTGCCTTTAGAAAAGGGCAGATGCCGGTTCAAATCCCCTTTATGCTCCCTGAGAAGGGATTTGCAGGTTGATTGCCAACTTCTCAACCGAATGGCCTAAGTGCCTGCCTAGAAGGTAGTGGGCTGTGGGGTCTCGCTCAGTCCTTTCTGTTGAAGGTAGGACACCTTCAGTAAGTATTACATGAGAATTGGGCCAAGGGCTGTGTGTGAGTCCTGCTGTAGTGCTGTGGTTTGGGTACTCCCCCAAGAAGCAAAGAGGTGCTAGTTCAAATCCCTTCCCTAAGATGGGATGGGCGTCTCAATCTCTTACCGCTCAAGCCTTCCACTTTAACTATATATTAACCGGAGCAAGGGAACCTTTCAAGTCCCTCTATGGTATGGGGGTTAGGGTACTCGCTTGGATTGTGAGTGACTCTGGTTCAACTCCCCGCTCTGGGGGGACAGGAGGGCCTCTGAGGTGTGAGAGGAGACCCCTCCTAGCTGAGCAAGAGGCCTGTCACTGGGCCTCTTGCTCTTTTAATTAAAGGGGCTTTGCTGCTGAGCAGTAAAGCCCCCTCTCTCTCTTGTCCACCATGATCAGGATACA